AAACCAAAAACTATAAAAATCATAGAAGAAAAAATAAGATCAGTGCTAGAGACCCTAATACACGGCATTAACAGGATATAAACCGTAACTAACAACATACAAACTCCAGAAGATAAGCTAGATAACTGGGATCTTCTAAAAATTAAAAACTTATGCTCGTCAAAAGAATTTAACAAAAGGCTAAAAAGAGAACCTACAGACTAGGAAAAAATTTTTCACTGCTACAAATCTGACAAAGGTCTAATCTCTGAAATCTACAGGAAAATCCAACACCTCTACCACAAAAAGACAAATAATCCAATTAATAAATGGGCAAAGGAAATGAACAGATACTTCACCAAAGAAGACATTCAAGCGGCTAACAGATACATGAGGAAATGATCGCGATCACTAGCCATTAGAGAAATGCAAATCAAAGTCACAATGAGATACCATCTCACCCAGCATTACTGGCATGAATCAAAAAAACAGAAAATAACAAATGTTGGAGAGTCTGCAGGAATATTGGAACTCTTATGCACTGCTGGTGGGAATGTAAAATGGTACAATCATTTTGGAAAATCATATGGCACTTCCTCAGAAAGCTAGAAATAGAAATACCATATGATCTGGCAATCCCACCCCTAGGAATATATCCTAGAGAAATAAGAGCCATCACATGAATAGACATATGCACACCCGTGTTCATTGCAGCACTGTTCACAATAGCAAAAAGATGGAAACAGCCTAGATGCTCATCAACAGACGAATGGATAAACAAACTATGGTACATACACACAATGGAATACTATGCAAAGAAAAAGAACGATGAATCTGCAAAGCATCTCACATGGATGAATCTGGAGGGCATTATGCTGAGTGAAATAAGTGAGTCACAAAAGGACAAATATTGTATGAGACCACTACTATAAAAACTCATGAAAAAGTTTACACACAAAAAGAAACAATCTTTGATGGTTATGAGGGAGGGAGAGGTTGGGGTGGAAAAACACTAAATAGACTATAGATATAATGTTCTAAATTTGGTGAAGGGTAAGACAGTACACAATACTGGGGAAGCCAGCACAACTTGATAACGGAAAGGTCATGGAAGCTCCATGGATAAATCCAAACTCCCTGAGGAAACGAATTACTGGGCTGAGGGCTCTGGTAACCATGGTCTCAGGGAACATCTAGCTCAACTGGCATGACATAGTTTATAAAGAAAATGTTTTATATTCTACTTTGGTGAATAGCATCTGGGGTCTTAAAAGCCTGTGAGGAGCCATCTAAGATATTCCACTGGTCTTCAGGAGCAAGGGAAAATGAAGAAAACTAAAGACACAAGGGAAATATTAGTCCAAATGACTAATGGAACACATCTACTATGGCCTCCACCAGACTCAGTCCAGTACAACTAGATGGTGCCCGGCTACCACCACTGACTGCTCTGACAGGGATCACAATAGACGGTCCCAAACAGCGCTGGAGAAAAATGTAGAACAAAATTCTAGTTCAAAAAAAAAAAAAAAAAGACCAGACTTACTGGCCTGACAAAGTGGAGAATCCTCAAGAACTTGGCCCTCAGACACCCTTTTAACCCAGTATGTTGTCACTCCAGAGGTTCACCTTTTAGCCAAAGATTTGACAGGCCCATAGGACAAAACAATACTAAAGGGGCACACCAGCCCAGGAGCAAGGACTGGAAGGCAGAGGGGACAGGAAACCTGGTAATAGGGAACCCAGGTTCGAGAAGGAAGAGTACTGACATGTCATGGAGTTGTTAATCAATGCCATAAAAGAATATATGTACTAACTGTTTAATGAGAAGCTGGTTCTGTAAACCTTCATCTAAAGTTCAATTAAGAAAAATAAAGTACAAAAAAAATTAAAAATAAAAAAACAAGCAGGGGAGGAGGGCTCCAGAAGGCAACCAAAGTACAACACCAGGTGACCTTCTGCTACAAGAAGAGGCACTGGAACTACCTTATAGAGAATTAAGAACTCTAACATTCAGGGTTCTCCAATGGATGAATGAAAATGCTTAAAAAATAAGGAAAAAATAGACAAAATCATGGAGAAGACAGACAACACAATGGAAGAAATCAGGAAAATAATACAGGAACAAAATGTCAAGATAAATTAACAGCCAAAAATCATACAAAAACTTGAATTAGAAATCTAAAGGATAAACAACAAGATTTCAGAAATGGGCAGTGCAATAGAAGGTGTTAGGAGCAAATCTGAAACAATGGGAGACAGGATCAGCGAAATTGAAGACAAATCCTTATATACCACTTTGTTTAAGGAAAAATGAGAGAAAAGAACAAAGAAAAATGAAGAAACCCTGACAACAATGAGGGATACAATCAAAAGCAAAAATCTGGGTGTGATTGGAGTACCAGAATGGGGGGAGAAAATTGAAAACACAGTATCATTGAAGATTTACTGATAGAAAACTTCCCTAATATCTTGAAAGATGAAAAGCCAAACATCCAAGAAGTTCAACAAACCCCATATAGGATAGACCCCAAAGGAAAAACACCAAGACATGTCAAATCACACTCGCTAAAACCAAAGACAAAGAAAGAATCCTGTGAGCAGCTCAAGAAAAATGAAAAGCCACATACGAAGGGAGAACAAGACTAGGCTTTAAACTTGACAGAAACTATGCAGGCAAGAAGGCAATGGGATAACATATACAAAATCTTGAAAGAGAAAAACTGCCAACTAAGAGTAATATATCCTGCAAAATTTTCGCTCAAATACGATGGTGAAATTAGGACATTTCCAGATAAACAGAAATTAAGGGAATACATAAAAACCAAACCAAACTTACAAGAATTATTAAAGAGAATCCTTTGGTTAGAGAACCAACATCAGACAACAACCTGAACCTAGCACATAAGAGAGCATCAGCCAGATACAAACATACATAATGAGCTCTCAAGGATAAAATAAAACCACAAAACTTACAACCGGGAACCAGAGATGTCAATCTGTAGATGACAGCAATTTCAGAACAATAAAAGAGGGAATAAACAGTGTAGATATAGAACTTTCTAATAGAGAGGAAGTCAAGGCATTATCAAGTAATAAAAGTCCGGTTTAAACTTAGGAAGATGGGGTAAAATTCAAGGTATCCATAAAGAAGATTAACAAACCTACTTATCAAAATAAAGAAAAACATAAAGTGTCAGTAAACATAAAATCTCCAAAAACGAAAGAAACAAAAAATACACAAACAAAAGGAATTCAGCACAGAAGAGTAAGAGGAACAAAGAAAATATCAACACCACAAATAAAAGCACTACAAAATGACAGCAATAAACTCACAGCTATCAATAATCACACTGAACATAAATGGCTTAAATGCACCCACAAAGAGAGAGTGACAGAATGGATAAAAAAAACAGGACCCATCAATATGCTGTCTACAACAGACACACCTTAGAAACAAAGACATAAATTTATTATGAATCAAAGGATGGGAAAAAATATATCAAGCAAACAGCAACCAAAGAGCATAAGTGGCAATAAAATATCAGATAAAATAGCCTTTAAAACAAAATCCACCGTAAAAGACAAGGAAGGACATTATATAATGATGAAACGGTCAATCCTTCATGAGGACATAACCATAATAAATATCTACACACCCAATGACAGGGCTCCAAAATACATAAACTCTAACAGCACTGAAAAGAGAAACTAAAAGTTACACGATAATAGTAGGTGACTTTAACACACCACTCTCAGTAAAGGGCATACCACCTAGAAAGAAACTCAGCAGAGATACAGAAGATCTAAAGGCCACAATCAACCAACCTGACCTCATAGACATATATAGAGCACTCCATCCAAGAGCTGCAAAGTACACATTCTTTTCCAACACACATGGAACATTCTCCATCTTAGGCCACAAAGTAACACTCAACAAAATCCAAAACTCTGAGATGATACAAAGTATCTTCTTTGATCACACTGCTAGTAAAGTGGAAATTAATAAGAGGAAGAGCATGGAAAAAAAATCAACTACATGGAAACTGAATAGCACTCTGCTTGAAAACCACTGGGTAACAGAAGAAATCAAAGATAGAATAAAAAAATTCCAAGAATGAAAACACATCATACCAAAACCTTTCAGACACGGCAAAGGCAGAGCTCATAGGACAATTTATAGCAATAGATGCACACGTCAAAAAAGAAGAAAGACAAAATCAGAACATTGAGTACACAACTCAAACAAATAGAAAGAACAGAAAAAGAAGCCCACAGCCAACAGAAGGAAGGAAATATAATAAAGACCAGAGCAGAAATAAATGAAATAAAGAATAGAAAAATAAAAGAATCAACAAGACCAAAAGTTGGTTCTTTGAAAGGATCAACAAAATCAACAAACCATTGGCCAAACTTACAAAAGAAAAACAGGAGAGGATGCAAATAACTAAAACAAGAAATGAAATGGGGGACATTATAATAGATCCAACTGAAATAGAAAGGATCATAACTGAGTACTATGAAAAACTATACTCCAGCAAATTTGAAAACCTAGAGGAAATGGACAATTTCTAGAACCCCACTACCTACACAAACTAAGGTAGTGATTTAATACGAGTTGCATCTATGATCTGCGTCCTTTTTAAAACAATTTCGTCTTGGACTCCCCAAAGGCTAACCAGATATAAGGTGATCCTTTGTTTGCTAGCTTCTGTTTTGCATGTGCAGTTCCTAGTTTTGCTCTGCATCAATCAGATTTAAAACACAGAGCCACTTTGTATTCTACCAAATGAATCCACTCACACAAAAGCTTTTCACATAATCGAGACTTCACTGAGGAGTTGGTAACAGATATAAGGGAGGGGCTTGCACCCCCAAATTAGCTATTTAAAATGCTTATAATCTTATTTCTGTTCTCCATGATGATACTAACATGCCCATGGTCAAGAAAAACTTAGTTCTGTCTCCCCCTTTCCCCGTTTCCCCCCTCACTAAATCTTCCTCTCTCCTCAGTACATCACCTTGTTGGATCATCTGTTCTTCCTTATGCAGAGTTGTTAGATTTTGAAGGAGTTTCTATTTTCAAATTTCATACTTGGAATCCTTGGGTGGCGCAAATGGTTAACAAGCTCAGCTGCTAACCAAAAAGTGGTTCAATTCTACTCAGAGACACCTCGGAAGAAAGACCGGATGATCTACTTCCAAAAAAATCCGCCATTGAAAACTCTACAGAACACGGTTGTACTCTGACACACATGAGGTTACCATGACTCAGAATCAGCTTAGTGTGGTGCTCAGCAAGACAAAAATAGTTCCTCCTCCTCCACCCTGTTAACAAGACCCACTTCCTTTAAGGGCATTTTACAGACTGTCTTTTGTAACATAAGCAAATTCTTGTGGTCCCATCAGCAAACCCAAGTCTTCCTCTAAAAGATTGTGATGAATTAATTTTTCTGCTTCTAATTTTAATTGTGGTAAGTGCTATGACTGAAGAAATACAGAGTGCAGTGAGAAAACATACGAGGAGCATTCGACTCCCACATCAGGATCACGGGAGGAGAAAGCAACAATTCTAACTAAAGTGTGGGTAAGGGGTAGTCAATAGGTAGGCAAAAGGATCAGTGTATGAGCTGTTGGTTATGGGAGGGAAAGAGGAGGGTTGTTCAAAATGGAAGAACAAAGTTTCAGAGACAAATTACAAGTTAAAAATAAAATAATGAGAACAAAACAAGGATGCCTGCTCTCACCACTCTTATTTAACATTGTATTAGAGTTCTAGCCTGGAGCCCTGGTGGCGCAGTGCTTAAGAGCTTGGCTGCTAACCAAAATGTTGGCAGTATGAATCCACCAGCTGCTCCTTCGAATCTCTATGGGGCAGTTCTACTCTGTCCTATAAGGTCACTATGAGTCGGAATCGACTTGACAGCCGCAGGTATTTGTGTGTTTATGTGTGGAGTTCTAGCCAGAGCAATTAAGCAAGAAACAGAAAGCGATGAAACAAGAAACAGAAAGAAAAGAAAAGAGGAAGTAAAACTATATTGCAAATGACATGATCCGATATATAGAAAATTCCAAAGAATCCACAAGAAAGTACTAGAGCTACTAAGTGAATTCAGCAAAGTGGCAGAGTACAAGATCAACACACAAAAATCAGTTGTGTTTCTATACATCAACAATCAACAATCTGAAAAGCTAATTAAGAAACCATTCCATTTACAACAGCATCTAAAAGAATAAAATACCTAGGAATAAATTTAACCAGGGAGGTGAAAAAACTTGTTCACAGAAAACTATAAAACATTTTTGAAAGAATTAAATAAGACCTAAATAAATGGAAAGACATCCATCCCACGCTCATGGAGTAGAAAACTTAATATTGTTAAGATGAAAATATTACCCAAAGCACTCCATATTTTCAATGCAATCCCTATAATATTCCATCAGCCTTTTTTGCAGAAGTGTAAAAGCCAATTCTCAAGTTCATATGAAATTGCAAGGGGTCCCAAATAGGAAAAGCATTCTTGAAAAAGAACAAAGTAGAAAGACTCACACTTATGGATCTCAAAACATACTAAAAAGCTACAGTAATCATAACAGTCTGGTACTGGCATTGTTGCTGTGTGGAAACCCCAGGTTATGCTAGGCGGGACTTGTTACAGCCAATAAACGAGGCCGAGATGCAGACAAGAAAGGCGCCTTTATTTCGTTGCACAAGGAAAGGAGCGATCAGGGCTGTTGCCTCCAAGACTGCTTGCAGGCAGTCTGGGGAGGCGGGCTTTTACAGAGAGCAGACAAGGAAATGTAAGTTCATCATGAATATTCAGGACTGACCTTCACATAGGCATTCAGAGCTTGGGGATGACTGTGCATTTTCTCTAGACAAGGGTTTGATTCTCCAGGATGGAGGAAGAGGTCAATTTTCTTTCATTAGCATGTTAAATCTCCACCTAGAGGCGGAGTGCTTATATGTATTTTTCACTAAATAAGCTGACAGGTCACTTGAAGTGTTAAGATGGCATAGAAAACCTGTTAAAGCCAGTTAAGGCCCACTATGGCTGTTCTGTGGTTATCTTGTCAAGGACAATTTCAGAAGAATGTGCAGCCTATTCTGCTCAATGTAGGATAAACCAGAGCAGGTGTCTCTTAGAAGTGTTGGGCTCTGAGGCTGCCTGCCTCATTCCCTCCTTTTCTTTGGGTGTTGGTCACACACAACCAATGACCATTCTAAACTACTGGGCATTTGTGAACCAAGTCTAGTGCATCCTATAATGGGATGGGGATTCTCCAGGGAACTTTTAAATCAGCAGAGGAGGTGGGGAAGAGATAGCAGATCCAACAATTGCTCAGATTATCTCCCTGGGAAAGTTGGATGGATCGTTTGTTTTCCTACTTAGCTTGGCCTACAGGAATCTCTTGGACAAGGATAGCAACAATCATTACCAACTCTGTGGTGGCTAGAGAGCTCTCAGCCTCTTATCAATCTGATTGTTTAAACATAGCATAAAGAAGCAAAAAGGCAAACAGTGTATATAATACAATGAACAAGATTAATAGTTTGGGATTGGATCTATGCAGGAGGGTGTTTTGTAAACAAGTACTTAAGGTCTTGAATAGGTTTGCAAGTCCAGTTGTCACCGTTTGTCCCTGGATGTCTGGTGGAATAGTTTTCTTTACTTGGGTGTGGTAGATCTAAGCTTTGAGACCGCTGAGCTTGACAGCTCAGTAACACCTCAAAAGGACAGGTCCACTTTTGCTAGACAGGCTCTGACTTCCACGCTTTTAGGAAGACTTAACCACCAGATTGGAATGGGTGCAGGGGTACTTTTGGTTCAGGTGGGATCCTCAGGTGTGCATACCTGTGGAGAGAAGACAGAGTTGCCCAAAGAGAGTGGAAATATTTAGTAACTTGAACATTTTCAACCTCATGGAGGGAGGGAGGTTGGTCATATTGGGGTTCTCTGATAAAGGGTGCCAGTATAATAGCTCAAATGGGCTAAGTTTCACTTTGCCTCTAGGGGCAGACTGAACTTTCAAGAGGGCCACAGGCAGTCCTTTTGTCTGTACCAACTTGGTCTCTTGGCACAGCTTTGCTAGGTGTCTCTTCAGAGCCTGATTAGCCCACTGTACTTTACCACTGGACTGGGGTCTCCAGGCTGAGTATCATCCAATTAATGTCCAGGGCAGGTGCCACCGATCGCATCACCAAGGCCACAAATGGGGCTCGTTGTTGCTGCCAATGGAGATAGGAAGCCCGAATCGAGGGATTTCACTCAGGAGGTACTTCACAACCTTGGTGGCCTTTTCAGTCCTGCAAGGAAAAGCTTCAACCTAGTTAGTGAAGGTGTAGATAAAAACTAGCAGATATTTGTAACTCCCAGGAGCTCAAGACATCTCAGTGAAATCCACCTGCCAGTCATCTCCAGGCACTGCCTCAGTTTGCTGGACCCTTGGGGGCATTTCAGCAGTGTTCTTGGGATTTGTTTTTGCACAGGTGTGGCAGCTCTTCACCACTGCCAAAATAGTGGCGTGAACCTTTGGTCCAATTAAATGTGTCACATCATGTCCATAATGGGTGAATGGATGGGCTCTCTGCGGGATAGGGTGAATGAGTTTTGACTGAATGAAAATCTTTCCCTGGAGGGTGTACAGCTATCCATCTGTGTTTAGAGTGGCCCCCAGGTCTTGGCCATCTTGTTGGGATAGTCCAGGTGGAGGTCAAGTGGTGGTAACTTTAGACAGGGAATTAGCGAGGCTACTATGCAAAGTTTCGTTGGATTGCTGCTTTCTTTGCTGCTGCATCTGCTTTGTAATTACCCTTGGTCGCCGCGGTGTCCCTTTTCTGATGCCCTCGGCAGTGTACTACTGCTGCTTGGGTGGGTAGAAGAATGACTCGTAAAGGTTGTAAGATCTCTTGAGAATATTTAATGTCCTTATTTCTTACTGTTAGGGAGAGCTGGCCATTGTGATTGTCAGTCCTTTTCTGAACTAAGATTTTACACTTTTTCTGTAACTCTTTGTTCTGATACAGAGTCATGAAAGCTTTCACGTAATACTTTTCATCTCATTTATCCTTGTGAGTACAGAAAAGATAAAGCTGGAGGATAGTATTATCATTTAGAGACCAATTTGCTAGCTACTTTCCCCCATCTGCCAATTCATATTGAAGCCATGCAGTGTTACAAAAGAATCATCTTTTTTTTTTTCCCCATAGGTTCTTACCTGAAATATTCCCAGTTCTTAAAGATGTATCTTTGTGGACTGCATTCCAGGATCTCTTGAGTACTCTTCATTTTTCGGACCCACACACACTTACACATTGACACAACCTAATTCAGCGCACCAACCTGATAACAGGGTTGAGCAAATAATCCAAGAAGCTGGACTATATGAAGAAGAACGGGGCGTGAAGATTGAAGGAAGACTCATTAACAACCTGCATTATGCAGATGACACAACCTTGCTTGCTGAAAGTGAAAAGGACTTGAAGCACTTACTGACAAAGATCGAAGACTGTGAGTATGGTCTTTGAGTTCTGTGTGGCTACTGCAATAAATTATCGAACCCAGCATAAAAGTAGAGAGCTGTGGGAGGGACAGTTAGTATCAGAACTGGTAAAGATGGTGGAGAGAGGAGGCATGTCTGACCCCTACTTTGTAGGAATCAGTCTTGGGCTGTTAGTTGTGGTTCTCCTTCCCCCTTGTGAAGTTAGAGGAGGTTAGACACTGCCCCCTAAGCTGTTTTTACAATCTTCCTCCAATCCTGATGCCCATTCTTCTTCATGTTGTCCAGTTTCTCAGATTATTTGCTTAGCATACAGACTGAATAAATATGGTGAAAGTATACAACCCTGACGCACACCCTTCCTGACTTTAAACCACACAGTATCCCCTTGTTCTGTTCGAATTCTTAACCTGTACCCCTGTACCCCCCTGAGAAATAACTTCACCAACTAGAGTACAGAGCTTGTGTGCAGTTTCTTTTGTCTTTAGTCTTGGAAATGAGTCTTCACTCATTTCCAAAGTTATTTAGGTCAGCACCTTTTTCCCCAACTCCTTCAGTGAGGTTATGCCATATATTTGTAATACAGTTAGATTTTGTCACAGCATGTGTTCCATTCTGGGGCCCTCCGATCTCCTAATTGATCTTTTTATAATTTTGAATACATTAAGTTTCACTCTTTGTGCTGTATGCTTCCATGGGATTTTGCATAATAT